GCGAATCTTAATACTAATTTGCTCGTCTCCAACGGTGCACAATAGAATCTGGCTCGCGGAGGAGTTCCGCCACGCCATCGATCGTTTCAGAGAGGACATCATTGACCATGACCCTCTTCAGGGTATATGCGTAGTTGACATCACTATGGGTGACAATACATTCTCTGCTGTTATAACTTTCCCTCTCGATGGCACTCTTTCGGCGCAGAATCCACCCTCGCTCGAGTTTACGGCCAAAACCAATCTATCCGTCGGACAACGTACGGGTATTAAATCGGTATGGATCTGAAACGGCTGCACTTGGATTAGTGTTCATTTATTAATATTGTTCATATATATAATTGTTTGTCCAGGTGCTATAATATGCACTCATTCACTCAAGTTATCCTTGTTAGAAGTTCTGTGAAATCACGCATGTCTAGTAGTTTCTCTCGACCTGACGCAATTGGCGCGCATTGCACCTGGAGGTCAAGACATGTACTGCGCTGTGCGTGTGTTGTCTTGTTGTGCGCGATGATGGCCGTGTTGTGTGTACATGTTCCTGGCTGCTGAGTATATCACATGTATTCTTCTCGTCTGTTTAGTTTTGATTTTGTCGTAGCACATTGTCGTGCTCCTTGGTATATCGGTTCGTCGTGTGTGTTGCCGACTCAAGTTAGCAATTTTTTATTTATTTTTGCGTATAATATAAAGAATGCTGAGACCAAAATATCACCTACGATATCCTGGGCGTAGATGATGAACTGGTGCATCGCTATATCTCTGAGTTTCAGCAACAAATCGATTCTCTACAGCGCAGTAAAAAAAACATCGTGCATTGAAAAATAGTTTGTCTAACCTAGCAAAAGACACCGTAACGAGTTAACACGGAATTTTTCAGTAGTTACAGTCTGAGTACCTATTGTTAGGGTTAGAGCCCAATCCAAACTTACAGCAACGAGTTCACTGAAGTTTTATTAATTCCCGTTTGAGTGTCTATTGTTAGGGTTAGAGCCTAATCCAAACTCACTGCGACGAGCCCACTGAAGTTTTCTTTAGTTTCAGTCTGGGTCTATTGTTAGGGTTAGAGCCCAACCCAAACTTAGTTTTATCTGGCACACCCTGCATAGATCGCCAGGAGTGCAGCTGTGAATGCGCTGATGGACGGCCAGTATTGCCTGCTGCCTATTCTGGAGCGAATCCACGGCACCCTGTAAGTTTACACGCGCCTTAAGCACAGAAGGGGCAGTGATTCAGTTGTATAGTTGTGCTTGTGCGATGCATATACACCCGCTGAATGATACGAATGTCACTCGTTGTCCGGCAAATCTCATCACAGTGTCGTTGCCTGATAAATGGATGCCACGGGTGCCGTAAGCACGTCAGATACACGCGTTGAAACACTCCATAAACCGGTGCTCTACACGTTTAACATATACCATAT